TTTTATAGGTTAAAATGATAGGTGAAATGAATATAGACACTTCCATATGGTTCAACCGAATGAGTTGGTAAATAATTGCTTTGGTGTATTAATAATATGTTGCATTCTGAACGAATTACCATGGCTTCCAAAGGGCCCTAACCTAAAATCAGAGAGTAATTTATGCTTTGGAGAATCTGACTCAAAAATATACTTGACCAAGCACCGTGATCCCTAGGGGCATGAGAAAAGCACATAATGGATGTGGATGTGATAGGTGGTCTTTTCCTGTTAACAAGCTGGCAGCAAAGCTTCAGAAAATATACATGCAAGCACAACTTGAAGCTGAATTCATTTCTGTATTATATTCTCAACTCATTATCTAAAGCATCAGAAAATGTGTTTTCAGAGATGAGTCCTTTACTATAAGGTTAAAATTTATTTTCCTTTTCTGTATTATATATAAAGAGTAAATTAATCTGAAACCTTGCCCAGCTTGCTGGAAAGCAGGTTTTAAATTGTAAATATTCCTTAGAGGAGCAAATGGATTGTTTAATACCATAGTCTTGGTAATCTAGCTTATATAAGGTCATTACATTTTTTTAATTGAAAAACCTAGTTACTTAATTATTTCACATTATAAAATTGTTTTTCTAATACTTTTGTAGGGCCCAAATTCAGAAAATACTTCACTCTCTTCCTTTTATGCTCTCCTTTGTTTACCAGCAGACAACTTCCTGGGGAAACCAAACCATATTCATAAAAAAGTCAAGTAGCTGATGTGCAGTTGAGAAAACTAGAGGACTGAAAAAACAAATTCTAACTAGCAAATGCTATGAAGGACTCTTCCTCCCCCTCTCTGAAATGGGTGAAGGACTAATTGTGTATACAAGCTATGCACTATAGAAGGGAATATTAACCATTTCTTTTGTCTCTTTCTGTTTTTGTTCTGACTGAGATCTGTTACATGAAAATAAAATGCTACTTGTTAGCTATATTTTTTGTTATTATAGAATTATAAAATGTAATATAAGACCAACAGAAATGATGTACCTGTAACTGTACCTATCAGGACCATACCTCATTTACAATCAGAAAGCTTACTGGGATGTCAGGAAATGATACAGGGTTGGTTCTCATTTCATGCTGAAAGGAGACAAAAGTTCAGTGACAAAGGTGTGCTGTGCGGGTACCGATGTGCCCCATGTAGAGTGAGCAGAGCAGGGAAAACTGCATTTGCATAAAACTACTCTTGACATGGTTGTTCATCTTACAATAAAATTTCATTCATTACCAGGCCCTCAACCCAGCTCATATATGATAGGTTTTATGTAGGAAGAAACTTGATTTTCAAATAATTTTTAAAGTGTATCTCTTACCTAAAGGACTATATACATCTAATAAAGTAACACTTTGTCATTTTCTGGAGTTATCAAAAATTGTATACAATCAAGACAGCACAAAATGAGAATTATTTTGTTTTTAAGTGCAACTACAGGTACTGTTGGAGTTAATGGGCACCATGCTTTCTCATGAAGTAGCATTTCCCTACCATCAAGCCATTGTTTTGTGCCATTTAAAAGAGGAAAAAAAGGAATTTAGGCTGTACATTTCAGTTCAGTGTATGACCAAAAGCAATATGTTTATAAGAAGATGTTTGACATACTCATTATTTTATATCATTTAAAGCATACTGTAGCAATTTGTTTGTTTAATATATGTAGTTAATTTTTAGAATTATTTTTACTATTTCCGACCAAATGTACTGTACTTTTATATAATTTATTGTAAGGAGTTTCTCATGGAAACCATTAGGAAGACAGACTGGAGGTAAATATCACATGAATCTGTATTACCAGTTTCTCATAGACACTGTGCTAATGTGAATTTTAGATGAACTGAATCAAGTCTTCTGTTCTCAGATATCTCAGTACAGATAGAAATTAGTCACCTGATTTGATTACAATGGAGTGACGATATATTTATTTATAAAGCAAATTTTCATAACAATGAGAAGATAGGAAGACAGAAAACCACTTAAGCAAGACCCTTCTGAAATAAAAATGTTACTTTTTAAATAGTTTGTCCCGAGGTGTTTA